TTCAGAAGCACAGGCACAGTCTTGGAGGGAACTGCTATGTCCCAAGCCAGAGCGGAGCTAATTTTCACAACAGATAATGTATTGAACTCATCCCACTGCTTTCTCTTGGAGAATTCTCCATGGATGGCGCACGAGTCTCTCACACACATTCGTTATTCAGAATTATTTGCCAGATCGTTTCTTCATGGCCCCCTGGGCTCCTTTGCCAGCATTTCACGGCATACCTGAAAGGTGAGCGGGTTTGAGAAGATGCAGAGGTCACCTGGTATGGCTTCCGTGTTCCTCGGCCAGTGTCAATCAGCATTGTTCTGTTGAAGTCAATGGAATTCCACCAATTTACACTGTTGAGGATGTGGCACCAGAGGTTTAGATGTAGGATTTTGCTCCAAGCCAATTACTACTTTCTGTCTGTGATGGGCTGCAAACGACTTGGGGCAGGAGATACCTTCATCTTTAATAGAGTTTATCCGCTCCTTCCGGGGAAATTGCAGGTACCCGGAAAGCCCAGTGTGAGTCTTTTGTCACAACAGCTCTTGCTCAAGTCGCCCTGGGGCTGTGCGGCACCTGCTCAATGGAGCTGTTTTATTGCAGCCTCTGGCTTCCTGGTTCACCACATTCCTCACTCCCGACTCTCTCTCAGAGTTTCCGAGGCGCTTGAATATTACACACTCTACAACCTTTAAAATAGACATGTGTTAGAGGATCCCGCTGGAGAGCCAATAACAAAGTCAGACGAACAGACTGCTTCCGATAAAATAAGAACCCGAGCCAAGACAGAACCTTTTATGACATTAGAAAAAGGTCGTTCACTCGTTTTAAGAATTCGTTTTCATTCCCAGGTGCCTCTGTGCGTTTTGACTAAGACAGTAATAGATTTGCTGCTGCACCACCATAAAGCCTTTTGCCTGGGTAATTGAAGCCCTGGAAGAAGCAAGATTTTAAGCTTTTCAGGACAGGGCAAGTGTTTTTGTTACGTGTGTTCGCCATGCCTAGCATGGTGAGCAGGGGACTCTAGGCACAACCGCAATACAGACAGTAATAATGAGACTGGAAATTGCCTTTCCTGAGACATTTGCAGCCTGGTTTTGTAGACCCAGAATGGCATCACTTCCATCTTATCTGCCACATTCGACCCCATCTCTTTCCCAGCCTCTGCCAGGCACAGGGAGAGCACAGAAACACAGCATGTGGCTTCGGCAAAGAGGAGATGTGGATCTGAATGTTATTGGCATATGGAACCCCTGTGGGAGAGCACACAGCCCCTGTGGCATCTCAGAGAGGGCATCTTTCTCCATCTACTCCCACCAGACTCAGGTGAGTCAACAAAGCCTTACAGCCAGCGGCTGACGGATGTAACCAGATGGTCAGGGGTAGATTATTAATCACACTCCACCAGCACCAACACTGTCCTCAACTCATTCCCCAAACCACACCAGTAGGTACACACATGAGCATAAGATGCGACTGGAGTTGTTTCAATAGCTCCTTCTTAATAACATCTCCCTAAAATGATGTCACAGACTGGGATGTAACCAACAAAGCTGTTTGTATCAAGACTTTGTTTGGGTAACTGGTTTTGTGGCACCAGGACAATTGGTGCCTGGTGTCTGACTTACCTACGGCTCCCCCTTCAGGAATACCAAGGGCGCAGACGTAGGCACTCTAGATCCCGCACATTTCTAACAAAAATAACTTTGCATATTTTGCCTGTGCAATATTGTACGTGCATTGTTTTTCTCTAGCTATTCGCTCGTTTTTTATTTTTGTCTATGGTGAGTAGCATGCTATATAGAATTATGGAATCACAATCTTTTCTTATAAAAAAAATCAAAACAAAGATCAAACAAAAACACTACACACACACACACACACACACAACAAAACTAAGCTCCCACCCAGCTCTAGTTCCAACTTGAGCTGGCTTTGTTTACCAAGGATCACACCCTACCCAGAACTCTTTGCAGCAGACAGAGACATCCAGTGCTGAGTGATATAATTACTTATATACACTACCATTACAGGGAGTTTGTCCATGCAGGTTTATGAAAACAGTGGACACACAAAATGAAGCAAAATCAGACCCCTGCGTTTAGCAGCACCTGCTCACAATTCAGCATGACACAGCAAAAGATCAAATTCTACCCCCCACATCTTTATTACAGCTAGACTTGACCTGATCTCAACCGGCTCCGTAAATCTTTTCTTTTCCTCATTTCCATTGCTGAATCTGAGCTCGTTTTAAAAAATCCACACACATCAGAGAGAGCTGGGCAAAATTTTTTGACCAAAACTTTTTTTTTTTTGCCAAAAAATGCAGATTTGGGACAACTGAAACCTTTCACAAATTTGTATAGAATTCACTGAATTGTTTTGGGGGGCGGGAGGATCACCAAAATATCAAAATATTTCATTTAATCATTTTCAAAACAAAATATTTCAATTTTTCAGTTCAAAATGACTTTTCCTTTCAAAATGTACTTCCATTTTATTTTAAAAAATTTAAAATCTTTCAAAAAGCTCAAAAGCAAAATAACACATGTTGTTTAGGGGTTCAACCCAAACAAAAAAATTTTTTTTTTTTTTTTTTTTTTTTTTTTTTTTTTTTTTTTTT